GTGCCTATGTGCATCTCCTCCTTAAACTGTACTTGGAGCACTGCTCAGGACCCACATCTCTGTAGTGACACCAATATTTTCAGTTTCCCACCGCCCCAGGAAGTTATGGGCCTGCCTCCTCCTCAAGAGTGCAAATGGTTCTGACTGCATTTTGGTCACTTTTATCTCCAGAGAGATCCTGTGAGAGGCCCTCAGCTCTGGAATTTATTCCCCCTTTTGCTCGAAAACAGCCTCCAACAATCTTTGACCTTCTGTGTAAGCTGTGAGGCCCAAATCCAAGGAATTGCTTTGGGAGAAGCCTAAGAAAGGTTGGCATTTGTGGCTGTGGTAGGAGAACATGTCGTCTATGCCTGATTTAGTCTTGAGTTTGTCATTTTCTCATGTTGTGACAATTATCCTGCACAGCAGCGTAGCCTGAACCCATGAATTCTAAGGCTTTCCTAAATGGTCATAAATGGGGAAAAGAAAAGCACTGAAATCTAGCAACATATGAATGATTGTGTATTTGTGAACAAAATGACCTGGCAAACAAGTACATCATAAGTCACTTTTGCTGAAATGATTCCTCCAGCCTTGCAAATCACAAAAGCCCTGCACGTCTCCGGGGCACTAACAGCATTCAAGGAAACTGCAATGTTGGGGCTGCTGATAAAGGCACAAATAACATTTCATTAACTGAGAACACTTAATATCTTGCCCTGCCTATGTTGCAACTGAGAGGCAAGCTGTAAACACCTATTAAAACAGCACTATTATGTCCTAATAGGAAAGTTCTGTCTGTCACCTTTTAAATATTTAAATCTCAGATTCTTTAAAAGCTGTTTCCGCTGCTTTTACTCTTTGGATATAAACAGATTTGTTAAATATTTTATTTCTAACCCACCCACGAAGCTACATTCATTTACATAACTTAATGAAGGCTGCATTATTCATTGAATTCTCATATAACATTTTTTGTAAGACATTATTAAACAAGTGAAGCAAGCCAGTCTAGTAATGAGTCTTCTCTAAACTCGCTGCCAGTTACATTTCCTTTCTCCTAATCTATCACTCTAATGGTTGCAACTAATAAACTTTTTGAATTTTTGCTGCTAATCTGTATATGTTTTGCATTGCATGCTGGATGTATAACTTGACAGAGAAATTACAATACAAACCACCTGGCAAACAAAACTATCTCAATTAAATGCTATCCAAACCCACCCCACTCTTTTTTTGTTATAATAGAGGACAACTACATGTAACATAGTACCTTTAAGCCATAAATAAATTCACTAATTTGGATCTGGAACATACCAGCAGTATATCTCAAACTCAGGATTTGTGTCTGCATTTTAAAATTTTTAAATCTTTGCAAAAGTCAGTAAATTAAAGTTTGGTTTATGCAAATGTCCTGCCTAGCCTTGTGAAAGATCCAGGAGCCTTGCATACAATCCTGTTAGACTGTTCTAGGAAAGATGATATGCAATAATTTTCAGGTAAAGAAATTCAGCAATAGGTTACTTACACATGGGCTATTTCATCTATTTAATTGTTGTTTGAGATTATATCAAAAGTAATATTGGACTTTCAGGTAGTCTAGGCAGTGCAGCTCCCTTTGAGATTGCAAATTTTCAGAATTTATACCTCATGAAATCAATTCCAATGATAAAAAAAATAGAACAAGGGTTCTCATTTTATGCACATTAATTTCTAAAAGACAGACATATTATTTTATCAGCATTCACCCTGAAAACCTCTGCAGATGCATAGAATTAACAAAAAACAGCAGTGTTCTGTTCTCAAAGATGGCTACATGCAGATTTGTAAAAACATTTTTTAAAACTTCCTGTAGCACGTAGGAAAATGCAACTTGAAAGTCAAAGATTAAGTATTTTACATATTATTAAGTGTTTCTCTTGGTACCTCTCCAAAGGTTAATTCTAAATCACTGAACAGAATAAAATAAGAAAACAAACAATAGATTGAAATTAGTAGAAAGAAGGAAAACCTTTTTGTCAGCCTCTCATCTTGCAAGGTCCAGGAAAAGACTCCTGTAAGGAAATAAAATAAAATAAAATAAAATAAAATAAAATAAAATAAAATAAAATAAAATAAAATTCAAACTTTAAACATACAAGACTTCAAACTATATTGTCCCTTAAATAGGTGCTTCTATGAACCATAACAAAGGAAAATATTTCCCAGCTCAACTGCTGAAAGCAACCTGCAAGTAACATGTCTTTGTTTCACAGGGACAAAATAAATAAACCTCATCAAGTTATTTTTAATAATTTCCAATAAGTTTTCAGCATTTTTTTTCTTAGTCATATAACCACCAGCAAAATTCACTTTTACCTGTTTTGCCCTTATCTGGAAATACTCTTACCTTTCAATCAAGTATTGATTTATCAAGTAACATTCCTCAATGCCAATTTCCATCAGTGTAATTCACAAATGTCCTTTTGATTAAAGAGTAGATACAACTGTGTGTTGTTAAGAGCAACACGTTCAGAACTTAACAGATAGTCTAGAAATTCTAAACTTTAGAGATGCTGCTGGCTGGCAGGAGCTGTTACTCACATGATTTTGGGAGAAGTGTGGGTTCCATTAACTCACCTCACCCTCGGGGAAGAACCAGCATGCTACATATAAATCATGGCTTTTTGCTCCAGGACCAAAAGCGCAGCACCTTCTAAATTGTGTGTGATTTTTTGAAGAGAGACATGGTCAAATATTTTTCTTTTAAATAACAGGCTAACCAAGAGGAGGAATATGAAATACCCTTCCTCCTGCCTCGGTGCAGCTCCCCAGCACAAACTATGCTCATGTGGGCAGCTGGAATGAGGACCTGGTCTGGCCAAAAAGCAATTCGTTTTTCGGTAGGTAATTTTTCAACAACATCAGCTCCCGGACCCGGCGTAACAAGAGGGGTGTGGGATCGGGCTGCGGCGCCTGAACAGCACCCACAGCCCGAGATTGCCCACGCCAGCCCTGCCGAGCTGCGCTCGCAGCAGAGCTCACCTGAAACCCGTCTGCAGCCAGCACCCAAGCTGTCAAAATACAGCTGCGCACAGGAGATTAGCAGCGGCTGTAAAACCTGCTCAAGAAGTTGGGCAAATATTTCAGCAATTAACCCACACTGAGCTCCGTTTTACTGTAGCTGCATTGCTGCCATTTCTCAGGATAGCTGGGTTAAAGCTGGCTCCAGGATGCCTAAATTGCACAGCAGTGACAGAGCGCTTAGCTACAGAGATAAATTATTACAGGGGCAGTACCTAACATAGGTTATGTTGTCATGATTTACAGCAGCTGAGGATGTGCCCCCAGATGTCCAGACAAAATCAAATTAAGTATAAGATTTTTTTTTTCTTCTCCAAACATAAAAGCCATGCAAACTTGACTCAAAACCAAAAATTAAAGACTTGCATGTATGACCTTAGACTTACACTGTAAAAGTGTTTGTATTATCCAGACAGCACTTGGGTCCCCATTCTTTATAAAAATAAAATATAAACTAAAATAATATGAAGACCATGCAAAAAGTTCCCATATATAAAAGATTTCAATTAAAACCAAGCAAAACATTTAGAGAATATCAGCATCTATTTGGATTTGGAGAACATTTGGATGTTACAGAAGAAAATGTTAGTAAAGAATACCAGGACAAGGGTCCTGCTGTTTTCCAGACTCCAGATCACCTCCAAATCAGGATCAAGGTTTGCAATTTTCCATTACTATATTGGCAATAAAGGGGTTTAAACTGAGGTTATTCATCAAGTCCCTGAGAAACATAATGGTACAAGAAGTTTGCACAGGAGAAAATATTTAAGATTTTAAACACTGTCAGGATGACTCAGGTGCAATTTAAAAAGAATGCTTTCTGGGGCTACAAAAAATTGAGTACAAAAAATTATTGATAGCTATATGTAGGCTGTATCTAAAGCCATGTGTTAGACGCCCACGTGTTTAAAATGCTAGCTGGGAACATATCAAACGCTTTATAAAAACACCCCTTTAAAAAATTCCAAGCCTCATAGATGCTATTTTGGGCAACTGATACCTGCAGCTATTTTGGGCAACTTAGCTTTGTCCTTAATTTTGATCTTGGGAGAACATAATAAAAAAGTGACTGTTTTCCAGAAGTAAACAAAAAATTTAACTATTCTATATGGTGCTACAAGTGCTCATGACACTGAATTACATTGGTTTACTTTGTAGATGTTTATAGAGCCACCCTATGTTGTTTGACTTTTGAGGGAAGACTAATAGGTGTAGTAAGCTGGGGTGGCCACAAAACCCCTTATGGTTAAGCCAAAATAGGGGTCATGCCTAGGGCATTTTATCTGCCCTGCTTACACACCCCCGGGGAATTGCATCTCAACAGTTGATTCTCTGTTAATCAATTCACATTAGTGCCTGCCTTTTAGTTTTCACTTTGCTGAATTCCATGAAAGAAGTTCTTAAACCAAATGCATGCTCTATCTCTCACCTAGTCAGAGCTGTTGCATTTCAAGGAGAAATAAGCAGATTTTATTTGCTCTACCTGCTGATAAGAGAACCTTCGTAAGTAAAGATTCATAGCCAGCAAGCTCAACACAGAACAAGATTCAGTGGTGTGTTTACACAGGTCAGCACTAATATGGGAGGAGAGGACATTTGTGGATTTTTTCCTCAACTAGCTCCAGAGAAAAACTTATGTGACATTATTCTGCTTTCCTTTTCTTTCTGATTTACCGTGGCTCAACATGATGTGTTTGATAAGGAGACCTGTAGCACTTGCCATCACTCCATGCAGTTTTCAGTGAGCATGCAGTTTTGTACTGTTCTTGCATTTACAGCTAAAATTTATAACAATTAACTACTCACAATAAGCAACTACATGTGAAGGAGGGAAGAGTTATGAACACAAAAATAGGAAATACCTCTTTCACAGAAGCAGATTTGGCTTTACATCCAAACCCTAGAGCCACATCCATTAAGTTACTCTCTAGCATACACACAGATCTTCATACAGAGGATCATCAAAAATAAAGTTTATTGTCAAACTTAAAATTCACACATTAAACATACAATCTAGACACAAATAATACTGAAAACATTCTCAAACAATAACCATTTCAGGTAATTTGGATGAGTAGCTAGTTACCATTGTTTTGAATGCTTTTCAGATATTTCTTATACATACACCATCCTGAAATGTCTTCAAATGCTTAGCTGGCCAGCTCTCAGTGATAATTTTAAATAGGGGAAAATTTATTTCTATAGAAATAACATTATCTAATTATGAATCAGAGACCCATAATTGTAGTGCTTGGGGAAAAAAATATCATAGCCTCTTGAAATACTTAGAAGACATAAATAACTATTGTACATTTACAAGTTTTAAATATTTAAAGGCCTTTGTTACTATAAAAAGTTACTATGTACATATTAAATGCTATATAGGAATCCATTTGCAGGTTTGAGCTCTCAGATTTGGCCACTGAAACCGATGAATTTGGTAGGCAGATTGTCCACAGGGTACACTATGGGGCCTGTTTTCATTGTAGGAGGTCCATTCAGCAGCTGCCAGTCACAGCTTCGAGCCAACTCCACTGTAAATATTTTTAGAAGGACTTTTGCAAACTCTTTGCCCACGCAGCTCCTCAAGCCCCCACCAAAAGGAATGAAACTGAACCTAGAGGAATCCTCTGGAGATGGAGACATGAAGCGATCTGGGTTAAATTCTTCCTTGTTGGTAAAGAGGTCTGCCACATCATGTGTATCACAGATACTGTAAATAACATTCCAACCTTTAGGGATTTGGTAACCCTATAAAAAAAGAACAGAAACGAGATGTGGAGCACCTTGCTGTGTTAAATAATGTGAAGTGACAGAACAGGACACATCAGTGCACCCCACCTCCCCTCCTGGCTTCCTGCAGGTCACTCTGAGGCAGACAGGCTACATGAACACAAAATACTTTGCAGCTGCTCTGAGGAGTCCTGCCCAAACCTTGCTTACATTTAGCTCAAGGGTCTTGAGTGCAATCCGAAATCCTCCGGGAACAGGCGGGCTCAGCCTGAGGGTCTCTTTGATGACACAGCCCGTGTACTTCAGCTGCTCCAAGACCTCCATGTCCAGCTGCTTCTCTTGGTTGGAACTGCACAGCAACCCCTAGAAAGGAAAATGCTGCCGTGACATTCATGAGCCACACAGCCAGGGCTCCTGGCACTGCAAAGCAGCTGCCCCTCAGCTGTAAGCAGTATTCTCCTGCCACCCCTAAAACAGAGCACCACCTGGATCAAAGGGAGCCCTGTCTGGGATACCTGTCCTGGAGTTACCTTCCTCCCACTGCCCCCTCCTGTGAAATGCCTCTGGGGAAGACACAGACCTTGACCTGCAGCTCTTTCCTCACTTTCTGCAGAACTTCATGGTGGAGCCCGAGGAAGGCGATCAGTGACGTGGCAGCACTAGCAGTGGTTTCATGGCCCCCAAACAGCAGCTCTGTGGCAGACTCTTTCAGCTCCTTACATAAAGGATAGAAGAGGCTTAAACCAGGCCTTGAACACAATACCAGGTCCACTCATCCACAGCAATGCTGTACATCATTCCCAAACTGGAACAGACACCCAGGGGTCTGGATGGAGGTGATTGGTGATGCTCATGCTGCCTGCAGACATGTCTCCCCATCCAACAGCCTGACTGCAGCCTCTGCATCCTAGTGCTCAACACTAGCAGGTTTATTTCATGGAGAAAGAGAGCATCTCCCGCTCTCCCTTTTGTCCCCACAAGGTAAGTGTGACATTCTTAGGGGGCATGAAGGAAAGAGATTAATCCGGGGGAACCTTACCTGCATGTTGAGCTGCTCGCCGTTACCCTGTGTGTGTTCCATCAGCAGCTGCAGCGCGTCCTTGTAGCCCCCCTCAGGCTCCTTGCGGGCCATCTTGGCACGAATGTTCTCCTCGATCTTGGCATGGATGATGTTGCGTGCACGCAAGCCCTGAACGAGCAGGAGGGAGAGCAGGTTGGGCCTCAGACAGTACTGCCATCCCTGCCCCCGATTCCCGTGCCCTGGCCGGCCTTTCCTGCTGGCCCGCCGTGAGCCTTACCCGGTAGAGCCCACTGAAGGGCACGTCGATGGGCAGGGAGAAGAGGTTGCGGATCATCTCCTCGAAGGCCTCGACCAGCTGCTGCTCGCCGTCGGGGCTGGCCTGGCGGGGCTGGAAGCCCAGCAGGATTCTCATGGCAATGCGGAACATGAGGCGCTTCACCTCGGGGTACACGAGCAGGCA